AGGAGGAGGAAGAGGAGGAACGGAAAACTACTGCACGTGGCTTTATGTAAAATAAATAAATAAAAGAGTGTTTTAAAACACGCAATTAATCGGCAGACATTTATAATTAAAAGATTTAAATACGAAAACGCCGCACAATGAAATTATCTTAATTGTGGTTATAATCCAACTCCGCTTCAACGCAACCGCATCCCCAGAGCGAACAATAGCATCACTGCCATTCAGCCGGTTATACATAACCACGATGATACACAACACCAATTCCGGTTGTTTTCTAACTCTTGCGCTGTTTTGTAAAATGTCCGATTCAAAACCATTTAAGCAAAGGCACGTGAAAATATTTGATGTTTAACTTACCCTTCAGCAGAAAGAAAGTATCAGGTATCCCAAATCCTTCCCGTGTAATTGAAGTCGCTCTGCTAAATTATAAAACTGACTGGGCGGGATGAGTTCAGCGCTGCGGTTCCGTTTCTCTTTATAGTCTGCTTCTTACAAAAGCATCATAGTGTTAACCATGGAGTGGCTTAAGTTCAAGGTGTCCCCAATATTTAGTGTTTTCTTTCAAATGTTGCTTGGCGGCACATCAATCGGATAACGGGGCTGATTTGGTGAATGTAGGGAGCGACTATTTAAATAAATAAATAAAAATCGCTGGAATGGAAAGATGATCTGGAAGCAGCAGGTCGGATGCTGCCCTTCTTCAGTTTAGTAACACGGTCTTTTTTTTTTTTTATCTCGTGAGAGTCAAAGAGAAGTACCCACTCAGAGCGATATCGTTTCTCTATGCTACATATTTAACCCTGTGTTACCGTGACTGCGCTGAGCTGAAAATGATGCTTCCTCAAAGCTGACACCACATCCGTGACGTCTATTTTTAAAATAGCTAAATCCTCACAGATATGCCCCTAAGCCGCTACAAATAAAGAAAGAATGTACGCACATTCCATGCAGATAGATAGATAGATAGATAGATAGATAGATAGATAGATAGATAGAGAGATAGACAGACAGACAGACAAGCAAACAGATAAATAGACAGACAGAGCTGAGCTTGAAAGTTTTGATACCCTCCCATTATAGAAAATGATAAATTCATACTAGTAGTTTAAAACTGAAATATCATGTTTTCCAAATTTAAATATATATATATATTATTAGTTTGTCACTTACAAGTTATTTTACCTGCAGCTGATTTTTTCTGTCTTTAAAGGAATTATATTTCAATGTTTAAGCAAAACTGTTGATATAGATAAATGAAATCTAAGTATAAGTCCATTGTCATGAAATAAGTGACTGTTTCCCTTGACTTCAGCAGACAGTTACAATAGACAGTTTTAAGCCTACTTTTAAGGCCAGGCTTAAAACCTTCCTTTTTGATAAAGCTTATAGGTACAGTGGCTCGGGTTATCTTGAGCTATCTCTATAGTTATCCTGTTATAGGCTTAGACTTCTGGAGGACATAGGTATGAAGGACCAACTCTGCCATATTTAAAAATAAATACAGAAATAAATAAATGCTCAATAAATGTATAAGCATACAATTAATTGCCAACAAAAAAGTGAGACATAAATGTATATAACTCTTAATTAGCTTCTTTATTTATTTGCCTTTGTAATATTTACCTTATTTATTTTTCTGTCCTTTATAATCTTCAACTTTATTTTTTAATTACTTATATTTTTAAGTATTTATTTATGTGCATGTTATTATATTTTTGTCTGTTTTATTCTTCCTTTGTATTTTTTTACCTTAGTTATTTCTTCGCCGCTGTTTATTTCTCTCTACCCTTTTTACATTTCTCTCTGCCCTTTTTACATTTCTCTATGCATTTCTATCTCATTATGCAAATGAGGAGGGGGTGTGTCCTAGAGAGTCAACTTCTGCTCATTGGTTGGCTTGGCGGCCCATCTTCTTAACTCACAGAGCTCAGAGTACTAAGTTAAATGTTCTCTTTTCTGTTGCTGTTGTTCAATTAAAGTATGTTTTAAGATCATTTGAGGCGAGAACCTTATACTTTTAAGCATCACCATATGGCCCATTCACAGATTTAATGCATAATTTAAAAGAAAATGTGACGAACTTGAGAGGACCGTGGCAACCAGCGGAGCTCCGAAGTGACGGCAGCCAGACACGGCTATTCCGAGAGAGGGCCGCTGCACCAAAAAATCGCCATCATCACCAGCGATTCTTCACACACGGCTATGCTGAGAGAGGACCGCTGCAGATGGGCTGTGATTAGACCTGGCTGCCGTCAGCTTCGGAGCTCCGCTGGTGCCACGGTCCTCTCAAGTTTGTCACATTTTCTTTTAAATTATGCATTAAATCTGTGAATGGGCCATATGGTGATGCTTAAAAGTTAGTGCTGTCAATCGATTAAATTTTTTAATCGCGATTAATCGCATCAATGCCTGAGTTAACTCGCGATTAATCGCATTTTAATCGCACATTTTTTTCCTGATTGAAAATCATTTAAATACTCTCGATGACATACAAAAAAATACATACAGGCTAGGTTTGTGCCAATGTTCTTTTTTTAAAATGAAAACAGGTCACAGATACTGATTTATGCCATAGAAACATATGGCAAGAAGATGGGGAGGCATGTAGCAAAAAATAACAAATATGTAGCCAAAAAAAAGGCCCTGAAAACAGGCTGATGTAAAAGACAGTCTTTACAGTTAATACAGTCTTTTGAACAAAGACAAGCATTTTACCCTACCGCTATAAAATGCAGTAGAGTTAACATTAGATGTTAATTAACCAAGGTAATAATGAACAATTTTCAATCAATACATCAAAATCAATAGACCGACATCACTAGATGAAGGTAGTCTATGCTCTCTAGAAAGTTACTTTTCAGCCTCTTAACAAAAATGAGAACACACACACACCCACTCACCCACACACAGACACACCCACCCACACACACACACACGCGATACTGACCTGTTGCGTACACAGACGGCAAGAGGGCTGCTACGAGATTCCATTTCACCTCAGTAATCAGTTTTCTCAGCGTATTTCAGGTTGCTACTAGTTACCAGACACTCAACTTGTTTGTTGGTGGTGGGGCTTAAAGAAAAGGCACTAGCGTCACCCAGTGTATGCGCGTCTTTTTCCCTTGAGGAGCTCCGCTCTAGAAGCCTATGAGAAATGCATAGACTGGGGGAAAATAGCCCCGCCTTCCCGCAGGCTGCAGCGGGATGTACTTGGAAAAATTGTACCATAAAACCACATAGCGTTAATCTCACGTTAAAAAAATTATCGCCGTTAAAATGGCCTCGCGTTAACGCGTTAATAACGCGATAATTTTGACAGCACTATTAAAAGTATAAGGTTCTCGCCTCAAATGATCTTAAAACATACTTTAATTGAACAACAGCAACAGAAAAGAGAACATTTAACTTAGTACTCTGAGCTCTGTGAGTTAAGAAGATGGGCCGCCAAGCCAACCAATGAGCAGAAGTTGACTCTCTAGGACACACCCCCTCCTCATTTGCATAATGAGGTAGAAATGCATAGAGAAATGTAAAAAGGGCAGAGAGAAATGTAAAAAGGGCAGAGAGAAATAAACAGCGGCGAAGAAATAACTAAGGTAAAAAAATACAAAGGAAGAATAAAACAGACAAAAATATTATAACATGCACATAAATAAATACTTAAAAATATAAGTAATTAAAAAATAAAGTTGAAGATTATAAAGGACAGAAAAAAAATAGGTAAATATTACAAAGGCAAATAAATAAAGAAGCTAATTAAGAGTTATATACATTTATGTCTCACTTTTTCGTTGGCAATTAATTGTATGCTTATACATTTATTGAGCATTTATTTATTTCTGTATTTATTTTTAAATATGGCAGAGTTGGTCCTTCATACATAGGGACCCCCATTTCATGATTCTGCTTTGTTCTGTCTTTATCCTCCCACTCTGCAGAATCTGTTAGCTCAATCTTTAACGTTATGCTCTCTCTACTTTTTCTCATAGTAGCTTTGCCTCATCTGTTCCTGTTTGGCTGTGACCTCATCCTGGAGAGAAATATCAGCTGTGCTGCTGCCATTAACACCTTTGTTTATAGATGTTGGAGATCTGCCTGTTTTCCAGTGTAGTCCTGTTTCTCTGACTGAGGTTGGCTGGGTGTGCTCTCTTCATCCTCTGACATGGGTGTTGGCTCCAAGCTCGTCTGATTGGCTGTGTGTTTCCTGGCCTTTTACAGCTGCTTTTTGCATCTCTGCTTCTGTCTCCTTGAACCCCAGTTGGCCTCAGCAGATGGCCAGAGGTTGCTGGAGGTTTCTTCCTGTTAAAAGGGAGTTTTTCCTCTCCACTGTCGCTACAAGCATGCTTAGTGTGAGCAATCTTATTCGAGTCAATGCAATCACCTGGTTTTCCATAGATAGAAAACTTTGAATCAATTTGACTGTATGATCTGGTGAACTGCAAAGTGCCTTGAGATGACATGTGTTGTGAATTGTCGCTATATAGATAAACTGAATTGAATTGAAATGTAACTATTGGGTTGTCAGGCTGCACCTCTGCTGCTCTAACAGTCTCCTTACAAAGAATATGAGGAGGTTTAGTTAAGTCTTCAATAGCTACTGTCAAATTAAAGATGGAATGAAAAAAAGATGTTGCAATGGAAGCATGGAGAAATAAGTATATATATAAAAAAAAAAAAAGAAAGAAAGAAAGAAACACAGAAAAAAGTTTTGAAAATATTTATGCAAGATGCTGGTGAAGAATCTCAGCTATCCAGGTCATAGTCATTCCAAAAAAGTAAAAAAAAAACAATCCACTGGACTTTAAGTCCAAGTTTTCCAAGTTTAAGCAAGAAAGCAATCATTATGAAACATACAGGAAAACCATGTAACCTATGAACCTTTTACTATAAACATTTAAATTTTCTTGTTTGTAAGTTTGACAAAATCGCAATTATTTTAGCAGAGTAAGAAACTGAAAAGAAAAAAAAAACTTTTACTCTTTAGATAAAAATCTATATATTAAAAAAAAGAAACAAGTATATTTCAATGAAACAAACACCTTGTTTACTTACACAAGAAGGCATAATTATTTTCTTATGTAATGTAGGGTGTCCTTATATTTACTCTTGTCTTTTTTCTAAATACAATATTTCCTTTGCCAATATCTTGCCTCGTTTCACTGAAATTGTTTAAAGGTACAGTAGCTGTTGTAATTAAAACACTGAGGGATAAACAATTTGAATGATACATAATGGGCTGTAAGCAGTAGGGGTGGGCACCAGACACCCCTGGCTGTAAGTGTTGGGTTTTTAAAAAACTTTAATGATAAAAAAAATAAAATAATGTAGTTATGGGGGAGATAACCAACAAATAATATAACCAATTCAATATCGAGCATTTCTAGAGACTTTCAAATAAGCAGACTTTGCAGTGTGGTTTCATAACTGCAAAACAATGAAAGGTAAATAACTGGCGGTCTTATTTTACAGACTTTAAAAATCTCAAGTAAAATCAATCAGACAGTGTATAACCAACGTTGTCTTACAGTAGTTTATGTAAAAAAATGAAAAAAAGAGAAGAATTCAAATACCTGATACCCAACCCAAGTCCTAAAACCAACTACTTGTGATAAACTGCGTATGTTAGTTGTACTTTTAAGTTGCACTTAATTTTCGCTCAGAATTTTGTATTGTGATCTTGGTTCATTTCCTCACTAGCTTCAGATTCTTTGTCCTGCTCCTCGGTCTCATATTTCTTTTTAAAAACCTGCAGAAAGTCCCAGGACTCAGGGACAAGTTGACGATCAAAAATTACGTCCAGCAGCCATGAAACTCCTACAATACTCACCAGAGAGGCCAGCATGACTACAGTTCTGTAAGGAAAGTACTGTATGATCCGATTATTCTCCTCCCTCCATCCAGGGTACAGGAGCAGAGGAGGGATCCCTAGAACAGGCTCGCCGCCCAGTACCCGGAGCAACAAACCCACCACGAAGCCAGTAATAGCTCCATAGGTGTTTGCATATTGGACATGCAGAACACAGACCAGTTGTGGGAAAATCACGCAATAGAGGAGATCTCCGCTTAGATACCAGAAAGCTGCTACACTGTCATCCCCAAAGGCCAAACCCATTCCAGCCAGACCTACAACCAGCACACAAATGCGGATCACCCACTGCAGTTCCCTCTCTGAGGCCTGCAGGCAATGAAAGAGAAGGAGATAAGAACTGAGTTACTTTATCTAGAGTGCATCAAACTACACTTAAACGCACCTTTTTCCTCAAAGTTGTCTTGTATATGTTTTGTGTAAACATAGATGCTGATGAAAGCAGCGCAGAGTCCATGGAGGACATAACAGCTGCAGCCACAGAACCAATGCCTAACACTGCCACCCAGGTGGGTGTGAGGTGCTGCAGAGAGAGAGGCAGGATCTTCCCGGCATCTCCACGTTCAAACGGAGGAGGGAGACCGTAATCAGTCTGGTTCCAGTCTTAGAGAAAAGGAGAAGATGATACAGAGGTGGAGGACAGGAGATAGAAACCTTAAAGGAATATATATATATATATATATATATATATATATATATATATATATATATATATATATATATATATATATATATATATATATATATATATATATATATATATATATATATATATATATTTAGCATTTCCAACAATAAAAAGAAAAGAAAAAAACTGAAGAAAAATAAGGAAAAATGACAAAAATGGAAAATTAGTAAATATTTCCAATAACAGCAATTACAATTAAAAAAAATTATAAGGTAATGTATACATTTTAAGCTTAAAAATAAGCTAAGATTCACATATTTAAATTATTGGTTGTATTAAAACAATATGATACAAAAACTCGATAGACATAGAAAAATGTAAATCCCTTTATTGTCCCACATTGGGGAAATTCAATTTTGGCATTTAACCCATCCCCTTGGGGAGCAGTGGGCTGTCATTGTTTGGCATCCGGGGAGCAGGGTGGGGTTAAGAGTTTTGAACAGGAACTCAGAGTGCAGGCTGTGGGGATCGGACCGGGTACTTGCAACCTTCTCAGAGCACAAGCGCACTGCTCTAACCACTAGGCAAACACTATGGGACTAAAAGGGACTAAAAGTGTAAAAACATGCACTGCTTTTTCATGTCCTGGTGTGACAAAATACCTGCAGCAGCAGCCATTACTCCAATCACAACTGATGGGATTCCCATGATAAAAACTGTCACAGCAGCAGCAAAACAGGTGATCTGTGCCTGAGCAGAGGAGGATGCAGAGAGGATCCGTTGGTATACAGCTTGATAGGACAATCCCCCTAAAGCCTGCAACGGCAACAAAACAGAATGAGATGGTTGAATTGTTTTGGAGTCATTACACAGACCATACAATTGAACAAAATTAGCTTTATACGTATAGACATCTTCTCTTTTCAGCCATCACCATAACGGCACAATAAACTGAAAGAATGGATGCGTGTAATAATTCTGTACATTTGATTCACTTTATGAATTAAGTAGGAAATCTAAGCAAAGTTTTCCAGAGTATTCTTAGCAGTTGAATATAACAGTTGTTCCATTGCCATACTGTGTTGAAATCGCTTTGAGTAGGTTGTATTTTATCCCTACAGACCACCAGAGGGCCGTGCTGAAAGCAATGAATGTTCATTTTAAGCATGCACTGTTTGATTAATTTTCCCAATACGGTTACACCTGTGACACACCGGATGACCACTCAGAAGCTATATACTGTATGCTGGCATCATCCAATGCTCTGTAAATCCTTTTGTTTCACGTGCAGTTTGTGTGTACGGCACCGGCCTATGAGCTTTTGCACCATATTCATTTTACTTTCCCATTGCCTGGTGCCCTGTTACTTGTTGGTTAGAGTGCGCTGAATACAGTGGATTTTTTTGTTTTCTTTGTTATAATTACTGTCTGTTTGACCCCCTTTTCTTTGCCTGCTCAGCTATAATTGGTAATGGCAGCATTTGTGACCCCTCTCCTGGTTTTAGAGCTTTTAGTCTAATTTCTATTCCCATCTAAATCGAGCTGAGCTTGGTTGTCATTCTCAAACACAGATTGCTCCCACTGCATCAATTGTGCTGTTGCACTTCAGGCAGTTGGTGGCGACGACCTGTGGAGACACTGTCTGAAAATCCCTGCATGAACTGCAGCTTTATTTCCCATGCAGTGAGGGTGGTCCTGTTCATCTTTCTCTGACACACGTGATGTAATCTGTTCCTTTACTGCTATGCTACACACACAACAGCCAAATGCATTTGTGGCAGTAACTGGTGATTTAAATCCCACCTCAATTTCTGCAAATTTAAGTGTTGTCTATAAAGAACACATTGAACCAAGATGCGATAGCTCATCCCTGGCCTAGGGTTCTCCTGTATGCTTTCCCACCCCTCTCATTGATTTGGGGTACTCTACAGAAGGTTTTCGAACAGGGCCACAAGTTGTTGCTGGTGGCTCCATTAAGGCCAGCATGACAGTAGTTCCTGCTGCTTCAAAGTCTATGTCACACCATCTCTTGGTGCCATCAAACCAGGACGGACATGCTGTCTCTGATTGGGGGCAGATATTGGACCCCAACCCTAATGTCCCTAAGCTCTGGGTATGGCCACTAGGAAACTGACTGGGATTTCAGACCTTGTCAGGCGCATCATATGGAGTGCTACAGTACCCTCAATCCCTTAATAGGATTGATAGAATTGTAGTTACATACGTTACTTTCATATCATCTAGAACATTTAGAAAAGCAAAAAACTTAAAACACTAAGGAGAAATGCTGTATTGTTTCGACAATATGCTGCCATTGTACGCAGATTTTTTTCATAGGCATGGTAATCATAGCCAGACAACATACACTCACCGGCCACTTTATTAGGTACCCCCGGGTTGAACCCCCTTTTGCCTTCAGAACTGCCTCAATTCTTTGTGGCATAGATTCAACAAGGTGCTGGAAGCATTCCTCAGGGAGTTTGGTCCATATTGACATGATGGCATCACACAGTTGCCACAGATTTGTCGGCTGCACATCCATGATGCGAATCTCCCGTTCCACCACATCCCAAAGATTCTCTATTGGATTGAGATCTGGTGACTGTGGAGGCCATTTGAGTACAGTGAACTCATTGTCATGTTAAAGAAACCAGTCTGACATGATTCCAGCTTTATGACATGGTGCATTATCCTGCTGAAAGTAGCCATCAGAAGTTGGGTACATTGTGGTCATAAAGGGATGGACATGGTCAGCAACAATACTCAGGTAGGCTGTGGCGTTGCAACGATGCTCAATTGGTACAAAGGGGCCCAAAGAGTGCCAAGAAAATATTCTCCACACCATGACACCACCACTACCAGCCTGAACCGTTGATACAAGGCAGGATGGATCCATGCTTTCATGTTGTAGACGCCAAATTCTGACCCTACCATCCGAATGTCGCAGCAGAAATCGAGACTCATCAGACCAGGCAACGTTTTTCCAATCTTCTATTGTCCAATTTCAATGAGCTTGTGCAAATTGTAGCCTCAGTTTCCTGTTCTTAGCTGAAAGGAGTGGCACCCGGTGTGGTCTTCCGCTGCTGTAGCCCATCTGCCTCAAAGTTCGACGTACTGTGCGTTCAGAGATGCTCTTCTGCCCACCTTGGTTGTAACGGGTGGTTATTTGAGTCACTGTTGCCCTTCTATCAGCTCGAACCAGTCTGGCCATTCTCCTCTGACCTCTGGCATCAACAAGGCATTTCTGCCCACAGAACTGCCGCTCACTGGATGTTTTTTCTTTTTCGGACCATTCTCTGTAAACCCTAGAGATGGTTGTGCGTGAAAATCACAGTAGATCAGCAGTTTCTGAAATATTCAGACCAGCCCTTCTGGCACCAACAATCATGCCACATTCAAAGTCACTCAAATCACCTTTCTTCCCCATACTGATGCTCGGTTTGAACTGCAGGAGATTGTCTTGACCATGTCTACATGCCTAAATGCACTGAGTTGCCACCATGAGATTGGCTGCTTAGAAATTAAGTGTTAACAAGCAGTTGGACAGGTGTACCTAATAAAGTGGCCGGTGAGTGTATGTAAAGATGTAAAACCATCTGGGTAATGCACTTACTAGAAACCCAAACCTGTCACTAACTCAACACATGCTCTGCTTTCTGAAGTAAACAGAAGGGAGACGTATCTCAAGAAGTGTTAGGAATCCAGTTTGTGTGGTTTGTTTGTGTGTTTCCTTCTCCCCACCACCAGGCGGTGCCCTGTCCTCGTTGGGCCTCCCTGCACACCTGCGGCTCGTTGGACCATTACTGGAGGAGTATTTGAGTAGTGGGCTGTCACTGCATCCAAGTGACAGCCCGCTTCTTTACTCCTCCGGGTCCAACGTATGTCTACCTGTCCGCTCTCCAACCAGTTCCCTCTTCTCTGGATAATCCCACACAGACTGGGTTCAAGGATTGACAAAAGCCTGCTCAAACGTGAGTCCCTCTCCTGCACAATTCAAACTGCAGTCTCAATTCCATCGGTCCCTGAAATGATATCTGTGATCTTCCCTTCTGACTTTCCAGTTCGGGTTCACCAGTTCACTGAATACCAGATCCAACCCCTGTTCTCTTTACCTCAAATAAACCTGTTAAACTTTTCTCTGTGTTCTCTGAGTGGTTTCTCTGCATATGGGTCAGATTCCCTAAACCAATCATGACAAGATGTATAATAGGTAAGGGCAAACGCAATAAATCAGCTTTTATTAACTTGTTTTAGGATCTGCAGGATCAGGAGTGCACATGATCCAGTGACTGACGTCTTGTTCAGCTTTATGTGAGTCAAGGAATGTGTGAGTTTTCACTTCATATTCTTTCCCATGAGCCGTCCTGTAATAATCAGTAATAAATAATCTTTCGTGTTTTGTTTTTTACCAGCAGCAGAAAATCATCGATCCATTTTCCTAGGTCTGCCAGCTCCAGTTGTCCTACCCATGGATGGTCATGTGACTGGTTGATTGGCAGCGTGTGTGAGATGGCAGTAACTGCTGGACTAAGCACCATAAACGGAACACAGAGCCACTGAAAGAGTGAAAAAAAACCCCAGCAAATTCAGTCTTTTTTCAAATTAGTGCACCAATCTTTTAATCTCCAGTCCTACATTATCTTTTTGCTTTTCCACAGATTATACTCTCACATAGTTTCCCTTTTTATCTCAATTCATGTCTATAATTCGTACCAGGCTTATAAAGACAAAACAAAGCTGGATGATATCCGTGTATGCAACTGAGTAGAGGCCCCCCAGAAATGTGTAGACAATAGACACAGCTGCTGAGATGATGATGGAGATGGTGGAAGATAACCCAAGAATTATACTCATTGTTCCACCTGAAAAACAAAAAAAATAATACTCACTCATGATGTCTATATCCATTAGTATTATTTTTTGTATAATAGGATTTTACTCTTAAAACTCTCAGAAATATATATAGTTTTAGACTGTAACAGCACTAACAGCATGGGGAAATAACATTGGTCAATTTATTAAAGAAAATTCGTTATTAAAATAAACTGAGAGAAAAGAAACACTATCCGAGGAAGGTCGAGAGAAAGTTTATTTACCAAGAGCAGCAAGGATGCAGGCAACCCATAATATGTCACTGATGAGAGCAGGAAGCAGGAGAGTCACAGTGAATGCTCTGCCATAGCGTTTTTCAAAGGGATCCAACATTGTCACATAACGCTTTGACCTCATTTGTTTTGCAAAAAACAGTCCACCTAAGACCAGATAAAGAAACATTAAATTCTAATTATTATTTATCATTTTAACATAAGCTCTGTACCAGGATCCTTATCAGTGTGAGTCGTTTTAAAATTACATTTCTATGAGGCATTCTTTTAAAAAGAAACAAAACAGGTCTATTACACAGTTGTTAAGTAACGAAGTAAAAAATACTTTGTAACTGTACTTAAGAACACTTTTTAGGTATCTATACTTTACTCCATAAGTTACTTTTCTTCCTACTTCGGACTTCTACTTATTACATTTTCACACAAGTATCTGTACTTTCTATTCCTTACATTTTTTAAACAAATGTTACTTGTTACACTTGGCTTCAGTTTAATATTTATAATTATTTATTTCACGTCATGTGCTCCATCCAATGCAGATCATTGGCGCCATCCACATCTAGTGAAAACTAGTGTAATTGGATGTGTGATATAACTCAAACATTCTTTGGTTAGCTAAAGGAAATCATCAGAAGCAAGCAGGTGTTCTTCACAGTGCAAACACGAATTGTCTATGCCGTGCTACAACGTCGGAATTAGAAAAAGATGTTGAAATGTCTGAAAGGTCGGACACAGGCGAGAGCATATCGGGAAATGGAATGATACACGGATTGTAGTGGAATCCGTGTAAATCCGTGTATAATCCGTGTATCATTCGTTCTTTCTATTTTCAATTGCCAATCAAAAAACAAAAAATAAAAAATTGACTGGTTATTTTGTTTTTTGTTTTTTATCGTTAAACCAAAAACGAAAAAAGGATTGGTTTTTCATATATCAATTCTAAGCTCAGATCAAGAATACGAAATGGAAAAACGGACAGCAACGCAGAATTTGTTTTTAATATTTAATCGGTACAGTTTACGTGACCCGGAAATAGCTCTTTGCGCAGCAGTTGGGGTAATGAAGTGGCTACCATGGCGACGCTAGAACCATACACTATGTTGATCGAGAAGCTGTTTGTTGTTGCTAGTTAAAAGTACAGTGCACAGAAAAGTTTCAAGAAAAAAGTTATACCTGGAAAATCCTGCAAATTTTCTCCGTTGTCATGTCCTCCTCAAGAGTCACACGCTTGGATCCTCGAAATAAAACGTAACTGTCCATGGCTGATAGGTCCGACTGCCTTATCTGGTGCAGTTTGATCGAACGTGGTGGGAGTAAGCCAATTGTTTTTTTAGCTAACGCTCCACCAAACTTCCGGGTCATGTAAACTGTACCGATTAAATATTAAAATCAAATTCTGCGTTGCTGTCCGTTTTTCCATTTCGTATTCTTGATCTGAGCTTAGAATTGAAATATGAAAAACCAATCCTTTTTTCGTTTTTGGTTTAACGATAAAAAACAAAAAACAAAATAACCAGTCAATTTTTTTTTTTTTGTTTTTTGATTGGCAATTGAAAATAGAAAGAACGAATGATACACGGATTCACTACCATATGCTTTATGTTTTGATTTAGTATACAATATGTAACTTAAAGGGTATCTCTGCTACACGAAACTGAACAAAACTAAATCATATCTTTAACAAAAAGGGATTACACTAGCATTAAAATATAAACGTTCAAAAACATTCTAATATACAAATTAACTATTAGATGTACAATTTTATCTCTTCTAATAATGTTAAAAATTTCTATTTAAAAAAAAGCTTTTTCAGATGCAAGGTTGAGGAAGCAGCTGTGTACATTTAAAGTGAAGTTGTTATTCTTAGTTTGACAGATGTTATTGTGAAAGTGTCATTAAATAAGTCAGAATTTTGAGATTCAACTAATTTCTGATTTCTAATGTGATCAGTCTGTTTAGCCCCCTTCCAACGGTTTACTGTTTTTACTTTCTGAACAGAATTTTTGGTGACATTTTGCTCTGTGCATGAAGAACACAAATAACTTTATGTGACCTGATACAAAAACAAACTTACCAATAAAAAAAGATAGAGCATACGCAGGGGGGCCGAGAGCCCAGACAAGGCCTTGAGTGGGCGAATAAACAGACTCAGCAGTTCCCATAATGTAACCTCCACCAACCCAAGTGGCTAGAATCAAAGCAAAGAAAAAATATGGAATAAAGAGCACTTCAAACATAGACAAAAGTCATGCTTTCACATTAAAAATTAAACTTTCCACCTGTCATTGTGAAAATCCCAACCAGGGCACTGATGTCGCGCCCACCAACAATGGAGATCTCACTTTTTGGGCCATCACATCTCTTCTCAGCTTTTCTGGATTTATGGGACCCCCACACTCCAATGGCCAGGATGCAAACATAAAAAACAATTACAGAGACCAGTCCAGGGACATCTACTGCCATGACGATCCTGGTAAACACAGAAAGATATAAAGTCCATAATATTTTGGGGGGGGGGGTTTATGACACATCTGTTTTTTTTTTTAAGCTCACTCTCTGCTGTCAGGAATGTGGCCTGTTCACCTTTGTGTGGGAGTCGATGATGTTCGGGTTTCACGTTTTCACAGAGCTTCCATCACAACTGCAAGTAAGGAGCCAATTGTGTTTAAAAACAGCGTTTCTGTGGTTGTTAACATCATGAAAAGTGAAAGTATTAGCATAATTCATGCTAATAATTGTCCATTGTAATTTCTAATAGTTTCAGCCTAACAAGCATCTGTACTGAAATGTGGAGTGGAGGAAGCCCAGAAATCGAAGGACCGTTACAGTGCCAATGAATGAATGTATCACTGATTTTCAGGGGAACAATGATTTTTTTTTTAGTGGTAACTGAACGTTTCCTGAACCCAACAGAAAACACCTTATTTCAGCGATTGCCTCAAAGTGTTGCACAACAAAGTTTTAGTTCAGGAGCTACATACCTTTTGTCAGTTTTAATTTATTTAATTGGCAGATGATTTTTGTCTTTCTTTAATGGAAGGGTATGTAAACCTTTAAGCACGACTGTATAATACAATAATTTTTTTTATACATATGCTGCTAGTATTAAGAATACCATAAAATGTGCTTTTTACATAATACAGTTGTTTGAGGTGTAGACTAAACATGACCCATCTAAGAGCAAAGATGGACTGTTAGACCACATAGAATTTAGCTGATAAGCTCAGTAAAATGTCACCACAGAATTAGGTTGTACAATGAAATAAATAAATACAGTTTATTGATGTCTTTCACAACTGATATAACTAACATATGACATCTGACCTAAATTTAAAAATTCAAATTAGTAAAATCAGTAATCATTTGATATTATATATATATATATATATATATATATATATATATATATATATATATATATATATATATATATATATATACACACTCACCGGCCACTTTATTAGGTACCCCATGCTAGTAACGGGTTGGACCCCCTTTTGCCTTCAGAACTGCCTCAATTCTTCGTGGCATAGATTCAACAAGGTGCTGGAAGCATTCCTCAGGGAGTTTGGTCCATATTGGCATGATGGCATCACACAGTTGGCGCAGATTTGTCGGCTGCACATCCATGATGCGAATCTCCCGTTCCACCACATCCCAAAGATGCTCTATTGGATTGAGATCTGGTGACTGTGGAGGACATTTGAGTACAATGAACTCATTGTCATGTTCAAGAAACCAGTCTGAGATGATTCCAGCTTTATGACATGGCGCATTATCCTGCTGACAGTAGCCATCAGAAGTTGGGTACATTGGGGTCATAAAGGGATGGACATGGTTAGCAACAATTCTCAGGTAGGCTGTGGCGTTGCAACGATGCTCAATTGGTACCAAGGGGCCCAAAGAGTGCCAAGAAAATATTCCCCACACCATGACACCACCACCACCAGCCTGAACCGTTGATACAAGGCAGGATGGATCCATACTTTCATGTTGTAGACACCAAATTCTGACCCTACCATCGGAATGTTGCAGAAGAAATCGAGACTCATCAGACCAGGCAACGTTTTTTCCAATCTTCTATTGTCCAATTTCGATGAGCTTGTGCAAATTGTAGCCTCAGTTTCCTGTTCTTAGCTGAAAGGAGTGGCACCCGGTGTGGTCTTCTGCTGCTGTAGCCCATCTGCCACAAAGTTCGACATACTGTGCGTTCAGAGATGCTCTTCTGCCCACCTTGGTTGTAACGGGTGGTTAATTGAGTCACTGTTGCCCTTCTATCAGCTCGAACCAGTCTGGCCATTCTCCTCTGACCTCTGGCATCAACAAGGCATTTCTGCCCACAGAACTGCCGCTCACTGGATGTTTTTTCTTTTTCGGACATTCTCTGTAAACCCTAGAGATGGTTGTGCGTGAAAATCCCAGTAGATCAGCAGTTTCTGAAATACTCAGACCAGCCCTTCTGGCACCAACAATCATGCCACGTTCAAAGTCACTCAAATCACCTTTCTTCCCCATACTGATCCTCTGTTTGAATTGCAGGAGATTGTCTTGACCATGTCTACATGCCTAAATGCACTGAGTTGCTGCCATGTGATTGGCTGCTTAGAGATTAAGTGTTAACGAGCAGTTGGACAGGTGTACCTAATAAAGTGGCCGGTGAGTGTATATATATATATATATATATATATATATATATAAAATCCACAACTGCATTAAGTCGGTGGACAATGTTAAATGATTATAATAGATGCAAAAATCATGGAAAAGATTATGATAGCTAAAATGTGTTGCCAATAAGTAGAGCCCTGGAATTACATCTTAGTTCGCAAAAATATTTACTGTTTTTCTCCATGATCATACTTTTATGGTAAATATCTATTTGCTGAGAATTAAAATTTTTAGTTCTTATCATTATCAGTTACCCTTTTTGTTTCCCTGGAAAGAGAAAAATTCAAATCAGTCAAAACAATACACTCCTTCATCTCTACAAAGGGTAAGTCAAATTATTAATCTGAGCTTCATTAAAAGTAAAAAAGATCAATCTCTATGCAAAATGTTAAAATCATGACACAAAGATATTTCACACAGATGACGAGTTCAGCTCTTCAGAATCAGGGTCAGTCAAAGCACACATTGAAAAGTTGGAGGATTTAATATCAGCGCTCCTCTTCCCCAATGGTAGCTGAGATGACCCGATCATCAGAGTTCATTCTCTAATCCAGAAATCTCTGCCAATACTTACCATCAGCCATCAGGTGGTCATCTAACAAAATACAACACATTTCCCTTCTAATTCATGTCGTATAATCAAATAATCAAAAAGCCAAAGCTGATGTCAGATATCTTCAGGTGGGCGTCTTCATCTTTCTGTTGATGTTGGTCCCTTATACAGGCGACATTTTGAACGTGATTCAAAGGGTGGTCTGCAGAGCAGCTGGTCCTCAACACATCAGGTGGAGTACTGATGTGTTAATTAACCAATCAGAGGGGATTATTCTGCCCCTTTATTCTGATTTGCTTTGTTGAAGCTCTTCCTGGTTCCTTCCTGATGAGCTCAGATGAGCTCTGATCACTTTCTTTTGATGACTTTGAGCCACACCTCCTCGTGCTGAAGGAAAGAAGGTCTTTCATGAGGGTCTCCAGGCACCTTGGTCCGTCTGTAAAGCCGTTTATGACTAAGGGGAAAAAAAGGTCTTGTAGGTAATTTTAATGTGTCACCTGTCAGTCCTAGTCTGGCCAGAGGTCTGGTCCGTTCTGTGGTCCAGGAAAGGGTCGACACGTCATGAGCTCATGAGGAGGAAAACTGGGAGTCAAAGTTACCAACATGCTGAATTAAAGGAGCTGAGGGAAGGACAGATCAGATGTCATCTTACCCTTTCACAAACAATAGTAGATAAAAAGTAGCTTAAAGAACTTCAGATTAAAATTTGAACTTTGTCACAAATTGTTGTCGGAAAATTTATCTTTCTTCTATTATATATTAATTTATCTATTTACTCACTATAAAAGTTTTCACTCAGTCTGTTTCTCTCTCAAGGCCACACATTTCTCTCCAGGCTGGTGTTTGTAGACCAGGCCTTGCTTTTTTCCATAACAAATCAGATTCTTTCTCAAGGTTCATTCATAACATGTTACTGTTAACCAAAGTGTGTGTAATTTGTTTTGACTTTGACTACTTTTGCAGTGTTCTAAGTAGGGGGTGGGGGGGGGCAAACCCTGCTCTAGCAGAACAGAGCAGAATGCTGTACCATAAGGACTGTATGATGAACTGTTCTCTCTTTGCAAAGATATTAGTAATTCTGCTGACTGAGTGAAATCCATTGATCTCCGTTTATTTAACTAGGGTGCATAGTTGAATACTTTTTCCCCAGACAATTTGGCGTTGTCAAAGCAGGATTCTCTTTGACTGATTTTTTCTGAGGACAGCGATTTTCAGAAGTGTCAGGTACCACCTGGATGAAGCAGTCTCCCGGCCTCAATACCCCGTTAGAAGGTTAAGGGAGTGAGGACTTCTGGCATCGAGGATCAACCCACTCATCGGTTACCATCCAATGGTAACCGATGAGTGGGTCGTTTGGTTCCATTGTTACCCTGTAATGTCTGAAACCTGTCTATGATTCTGAAGGTTGGTCATTAAAGGGGGGGGATTGCCGTTAAGAGGGGGATTGTCTCCTTTAATACCTGAAACCTGTATATGATTGTTAAGGGTTGGTCGTTAAGAAGGTATTGTTCACCGGCGGATAAGTGCTTCATTCCTCTGTGATGGGGTGGGGGGTGTAGTATCTAGAAGGGATCATATCTATGATTGAATTGTATGTTTTTGGAAGCTGGAATCTGAGTCCACCACCTCTGTTTAAAGTTGTTTTTTCTCTCTTAACATAGATGGCTTCCTTCACGCCCCTCTCAAACCACCTATTTTCTTTATCCAGAATGTGGACATTCTGGTCCTCAAAAGAATGTCCTTTGTTCACAAGGTGTAGATGTACTGCGGAGTCTTGTCCAGAGGAGGCCGCTCTTCTGTGTTGGGCCATGCGTCTGTGGAGAGATTTCTTGGTTTCTCCAATACAACACCTACCCATAGTACACCTACACCTTGTGGACAAAGGACATTGTTTTGACGTCCAGACATTTGAATTGAGAAAGCTTCCTGGAGAGGTGGCGAAACGTCTTCAAATCTTAGAAACCAAGTCCAGTGGGTATTTTTTGAACTTTTACGGAATGACTATGACCTGGATGACTGAGAATTTTCATCAGCATAAGGAGAATCATGCTTTGACAACACCAAATTGTCATGGGAAAAAAGTATTCAACTATTCATCCTAGATAAATAAACGATTTAAATCGATCCTAGATCGATCGATTTATTCATATCTTTGCAAAGAGAGAACAGTCATCATGAAGCCCTTAATAGCACAGCATTCTGCCTGGTTCTGATCTGGGCAGCGTTCGTTCCCCATTACTTATAACAAT